CCAATATGGACTATGAAGCTATAGCCCTTGGCAGGAAGGAATGTCTGGAACTGACTGGGATGCTGTGTTTCTGTTGGAATAAACAGGCAATAACAGAATAGACCTAAACAGAAAACTCAAAATGGAGATGAAATATCCCAAACAAATAATAATAAATCAGCTTTCTTATACTGCTGCGCCATTTGCTCATGCAGTCTTCCAAAGCAAGTGGGATTGTCAGCGTTGTACACATGTAGAAGAGACAGCACTCAGCCCATGGGTGTTTCAGATGGAGGACTGCAATGCAGGAACTGCACCACCCCACAGGGAGGGATAACATAGAACTAATGTGCTCCTTCCTCTTCGCTGCTCCAGATACCATGTCTAAAACTAGTGTGAAATGGAGGAAAACAACTGAGGAACATTCTTAGACTTTTGTTACATACAAATTGGAAAATTTTAACTCCTCATCTTTGACCATTTTATCTGGAGTTTCCATCCTCTTTCTGCAGGAAGCATTTCTTTTTATACTGGAAAGGTCAAAAACCTATAAAAAACTAAAACCACCGAAACCTATAGAACTGTGAGTCATCAGTGACTTTCTAAAATAGCCACACACATAGAAAACTCCTGCACTTGCATTCCAGAGAGTTTTACGGTTCTGAATGTTTGAAGACCTGAGCATTGGTCTATGTGCCTTCAGAGAAATAGCAAAAATAAAAAAGCGAGAGTAGAGGAGGTCGATACCAGCAGAGGGGGATAGTGGCTCTCCCAAAAGGAAATTCTGAATTTAGAGGTCAACATCTTTACCATTTGCTCTCTCTCCCTCTCTGGGAACGTCATTATGGTGTCTGAACTGCTCTCTCCCTCACTCACACCTGGGCCTTCAATAGAACAGGAGCATTGCAAGTTTCTAACGTCTAGAGCTTTTATTTTTCTCTTAATTCCTCAGGAGAAAAATTCAGTCTTCCTGCACCTGGGCTCCCTGTACATGAGAGAGCATCTGGAAATGCTAAACAGTAAAACACTGTCACCTGTCTCAATTTTTACTGAGATCTGAAGGGAAATTTTATTGCTTCCTACCCAGCAGGAAGCAGTGGACTGGCTTCATCTCCACCAAGTCAACTAACAATGGATGCAATTATCATAATATGGAAGCTGCAGGACTGCCTCACAGCTGGTCTCTGAAAAAAAAGGAGAGTAGTAAAAACTTGCAGGAATGTGAGAGATACTGTATATCTGAGATGCAGTGAACTCTGGACAAAGTCTCTTTAATGATCCATTCCAGACCAGCATCTGCCATTTTATTCACTTTGCCCTGGAAGGTTGTGGCCCTGCAAGGAAATAGGATGGGAATTCACATTCCTGGCTCTCACTAGATCCTTGGTAGAAGATTTCTCTGTTCTGCATAACAGTGGCAGGTACAACAACGTGACACCATTGCTGAGGTTCTAGAAGTCCTGAGCCCAGCAGGATTTACAAAGTTGGATTTGGCTTCCTTTGTGATGTTTTATGCCTGAGGAGTAGCCTGAGAGGGTGCCAAGCTAGAAAAGGATCAGAGAAATGACAGAACAGTAACAAACACTCAGTAGAACATCTGACAGATGTGAGTGACAAGCATGTATTGTGATGCCAGGTCGCAGTACCAGTCAAATGGATTGAAATGTGGGAAAACTGAGGTTCATCTGACACTGCAGTTTGTTCAAAGCCTTGTAAATGTAAATAATTGCTCTGTCTGCAAACAAAGCAACCACAGCCCGCATAGCAGCTGCGGTCAGGGTGCCTCAGTCTGGTTTTGAGATTCCCCAGAGCAGTGAGAGAGCAATTTTAGCCCCCCAGGCACTCAATGCTTGGCCTGTGCTAGGACAGCATTATTGTTATTGGGGTGCCTTCTGTGCTGTGGATAATAGAAAACATAAAGAAATTAAATGTGAGAGTGTTGGTGGTACTGTAAAAAAACAGAGTGCTTGGTCAGGACAGAGTTGTGAATCAACCTTCCCATCTATACAGGCAAACCTTGTGCATTTGTGACTCATGCTGTTGCTGTAGAGCCAGGATCCTTTGCTCCTCTTCCTTCAAGAGCAGTTGCCCATCCTCCTGGAGTGCGTGAGTGGTGCGCAGCTCTTGGATCAGATCCAGTCGCTTCTTCTTCCCTTCAAACATCTTTAAAATAAAGGTAAACAAGTGAGCATATTAAATGGAGAATATATATCAACATGTTTTGCCAGCAGAGCACACCCTTTTTCTCCAAGTTGCAAGGTCAGCTGTTCCGAAGACCTAGTTCTCTCTAACAAATTTGTGGCTGTATTTAGGCAAACACTACAGCTGTCAAGTAAATCTTGCCTAAACCCTCCTGCATAGAAGATGAAAGTTGAGACCTTCTGCTGTGGAATATAGATAATCCCTTACTACTTTTATTTGTTTGTTTGTTTGTTTGTTTGTTTGTTTATTGTTCTCTTTGGCCTTACCACTGGAATGTGGAACACCACCACCAATGTCAAGTGAAAAGGGCAATAGCCTTCTGGATACTCTGTTATATCAGTCTCAATGTCAAAGCTTCACAGTGTTTCAACATCTACTATTCTCTGACCTTCATTTTGAGGGAGACCAGCAACAGCTCATAGCAATAAATTGATAGGGAGGTTTCTGAAAGTGCTGCCATCCCTGTTATGGGGTTATGTGGCCCAGTCCTCACTGACAGTGTCTTATTTCCAGTCCCTCTCTCTTCCAACAGCAACAAAAGATCACTCAACCCTGCTCGCATCATTCTCCAACTGAGTCATTTATTTCTGATCCAGCAGTATCTGGAAGGAGATTCCTAAAACGATGGGACATTTCATTCTGTGAAAGTCAATAGTCCTTCAATGGCATCAAACTCCTTCTCACAGATCACCATAGAACTGGAGAAGACTTGGGAAGTCTATATTCCACCTCAAGCCACTTTCACAATATTACATTGTTTGCTAAAGCTCAGGTCAGCATCCCACATGGGAACGCTTCACAAACATCAAACAATTACTGCAAGAAAGAATATCAATTATACTCCCTGCATGCATGAAAACAAACCTTCTGGACTGGTCTGATCAAAAGTGATAGGCTTGCTTAATATAATGCCCACAAGGCATGGCTACTCAATTTTTACTTAGACTCTGTTCTGCTCCACTGAAAGCAAAATGATAGGTCCTGCACTTGCTGGAAATCACAGTGGTATGCTTCAGTTCCTCCTCATCTGTGGTTCAGCTCACCACCACAGGAAACTGGAAAGATGGTATGAAATACAAGCTGCCCTGCTGGGATGTGGGAGGTTCTTGTGCCTGGGATCTTGGCATAATCATGGCAAAATGTGCTCATGGTCCAGATCTAGTCTAGGATTAGCCATTTGAGTAATTCTGCTATGAAGCATCTAAATAAACAGCTGAGTGTAGGGAACTGCAAGAACAGGGGAACATTCACAGACATGTGTAGGAACCTAGAAGTTCCTGTAAGAAATCTGGGTTGAAGAGCAAAGACTTCAGCCTTGAAGGACTCCAGATAACATATAGGGGGATATGCTGCAGAATTCTCATTACCCCTGATTAGTGCTATGAAAGAAAGATTGCAAACACCCTTTCAGTCATTCCCACCGTCATTCTGAAGACAGATATAAACAAAGAGACACAGAATACCATGTTCTGAATAGCCCTCCCTCGGAGCAACTTCTGCAGACAGATCACCGCCAGTTCTGTTTCCTCTTCCTCCTGCCAAAACACAACAAATATCCACACAATAATTAATTATGTCTTTGGACACTGAGATTTGTGTAGATTATCCATCTAACTATTAAATAGTCTAACTCATATCCTGCCTTTTCTTGGTTGTTTCTGAACACCATTCTTCTAATTTCTAGGGAAGGAAGGTGAGTCAGAATAACAAGTACTTCCATGTTTTGCAAGGGGTGGGGAAGAAAGGCCATATAATGATTCTATTTGAGATTTTAAAGGGTCTTTAGAGATGAGAACCTACTGATAAAGAGATGTTGATGGAGAAGATTACTGTATGCATTAGAAGTACTATTTGTAGCTTGACTGCATCTGAGTTTGCAAAATGAGCACCAGCTGCATTAATTTAACAGGTCGAGACACTAAGGGGATAGAATTATTATTGAAAGAGGTTCAAGAGAGCTGTTAACCATAAATAAAGGGATTAAATTAAAAGGGAACATATATAATTTTTCTTCTGAAACTTGTTCTGATATTTACTTTATTAGAGTAAATGAGTAAATTTAAGACTTAGAAAGTGATAGTTTGGAAGTAAAATTCCTACATTCTGTTGCGATTTGTTTCTTTGAGAACTTTACTGGCCTAGCATTGTGTGATTGATACCAACTTGGAAGAATGATGGAGCATAGTGGAAGAAGGAACGTGACCACAGGAGTAAAAAAAAAAGGGGGCTTATTTTAAATAGAGGAAGTACAGAAAGCATAGATGGCAGCATTCTTTCTAGATGAGAGGTCTTCTAGTCTGGAGTTGACAGTAGCAGAAGGAAAGAGTCCATTGGGTGCCTGGGAAAGATAAAAAGAAATCTAAAAATTGGGAGTAATTTTTTTTTTTAATAAAGAATCTATAAGGTCTGCATTGAAATGTGGTATTTAAGAAGTGCCGGAAAAACAGGGAAGAGTGTGGGATGAGAGAAGTTGTGTGGGCTTGAATCTTAGTTTTCTGTTTCTTCTTAGGTGTTGAAGACTGAGTTTTCCAAATGCAAAAGGAAGCATTCCTGCCTTTCTACACCAGCACCCAGGAGAAGCAAAGCAGAACTAGCCAAAGGACTGCCTTATGATTTGGTATGTTCTTTTCCTCTGGAAAGAAGGGATGATTTTCCAGTCCTAGAGAGCTAAACTGTACCACATCACTTGGCTACAAGTGTGAAATCGCTTCAGGACAGAGTTTTGGAAATGGTGATGGCACATATACTGTTAAGCCAAACTGCTTGCTCTGATTTAAACTAAGATTTGGTTTAAATTTTAGTGAGAAGCATTTTTCTGTACTTCTGCTGTTCAATGCTGCAAATGATGCCTTTAGCAAGTGTAATCATCAGCTTGTCCATCTGCCTGATATACACCAGCAGGAAAGAATGAAGGCGGATGAAAATCCTATCATACCCTGCAGAAAAAAAAAGGACAAATAAGGATATAGAAGGATCTAGGAGATGGCTGCAACTTAGAGGGGACTGGAAGGAAGTCAAAAACTAATGAAGGAATTCAGATGCGCTCTGTGAGCTTGTTGTGGCTAGTAAGTCCATTAGAAATGCCTGGGGGAGAGAAGCTGAGGAGGCCTGCAGTAGTGCCTCGATTCTCTCAATTTTTTTTTATATCCCTTGTTGTCCACATCACCTGACTGTCACTCCCTCAGTTTCTTTTTGAGATCCTCAACTCCAGCGGGAAGGACTTAGCTGTTGTTACTCGTATACGTGTAGGGCAGGAAAAGAAGCATTAACAACAGAGAAGATTCTTGCTTTCAGTGCTCCTCGCAGCTATCTGGTAAGAGAAACCTCACTTGGATTCAGCAAGAATCCAAGTTAGAGCTGCTCTTCAGTGGCTCAAGTGACCTGATTTTATAGGTGGAGTTTCACTGGAGAGTTCCGTATTTAATGCGTCTGCACATAATGATACTGAAAATAAACCAAATGTTGACAGAATTCATGTAGGTGGAATTAAATTGTATTGGAATTCTTAAAAAAGAAAACCGTAATCTCTAAACATGCTCAAGAATGACTACAACTGGGAGATAAATTTTTCTGATTTCTTTCCATGTTACCTCAAAGTACTTAAAAATCTGCTAAACTGGTAAACCTAAATAGTGCAAATCCACCACTGCAATACAATATCTCATACCTAGGAGTTGGTAAAGCTGTGGAAAGCTCTTCCCCAAGAGATAAGAGATTCTTGTTTCAGTCTTAAAATAGACTGTATAAAACATAAAATATCATACTGCACAAAGGAAGACAGCAGCATGGATGATCTAATAAGACTTTCTCTCACTTTCGTGGTTGTGTGACTCTCCTAAATTCAAAGTTTAAATGGTAACTGTGTCTGATTCTTAGTACATCATGAAAATGGTGTTAATAAGAAGACAAAGCAACCCAGTGGGGCAACCACCTCTTAAGTACGTTACTTTAAGAAAGGAAAAGAAGTTGCAGCTCCCCTAAAAGTCTTTTTTTTCCTACAGCATATCACAACCCCCATGACACATCATTACTGCTATTTCAATCTCTGCAGGAGAATCATTATCTGTGAACTGGAGCATGCTCATCAAACACTGCATCCTGCATGATGACAAGAGCTTCACTCCAGCAAATTAATGAAGTGCATGCTCAGTGCTAAGCAGCCAAGGTCTCACTGACTTCAATGAGACTAAAGTTAATTGCCTCACTGGAGTATGATAGTGTTGTCAGATCAGAAGGTTGGAAGCTACTGAATAACAATAATAACAATAAAAAAAATATAATGATGATGCCTTCTTACTCCTCAAGAACAAGAAAATTACATGTCTATTAATTTATGTCTTTATAAAATAAAGTTTACTTAAGGATTTGGCCAACAGATATTGTAAAATATTTTCAATTCTTTGGCTGCTAGTATCTTTATAAAATAAAGAGAGACTAGGAGAATCTTAAGAAATAATGATGGCTATTTTTAACATGAATGCACACAAAAAAGATAAAACTCCCTTCTTTCCTTCTCTGGGCATTCCTTTAACAACTGTGTAGGAAGCAACTAGGGATCAACAGGGAAAAAAGTGCTAAAACCAGCTGACTTACAATTGATGGTTTTTCCAGGATTAGAGTGGGTGGCTTAGGAATAGGCTCTTCTACTTTTTCAGGGACACGGATGGGCTTCTTTGGCTCCTCGACTTTATCCTTCTTCTCCAGTAGTGCCTGGAACAGACATACAATTTAATCAGAACATGGCCAGATAGAACAACATAATAAGGATGCTGATTGTTGCTGATCACATTGACTACAGGGAGCTGAGAGATTTCAGGCTTGTGGCTTCCACTTCTTACTCCACATCAACTGAAAAACTGAATATAGTTAGTAGAGGAGGCTATTGCCTGGTCAGAAGATACTGATGGGAACGTCAAAATCATACGCTAGAAGGAAGAAGGAGTTATTTTACTGTATTTACTAGTAAGTCATCAGCAATTGCTTAGGGTGAGTTACCTAATATAATCTAAAATTGGCATTAACTTAATTTCCAACTCTCTAATAATTAATTCTCTAAGAATGCTTATAACTCTTTGCCTTTAACTATAGCTATAATGCTTGTTACTGTGGCTTAGAAACACTATGTATTCAGGAGATTTTATGAAGGGGTCACTTGAAGAGTGTATTGTCACTGTTCTGTGGCCCTTCCTCAGTGAAATGCCTTTGTATGATAGGCTATTACTGTACAGGGTTGAACCAAATGACCCTGATCCCTTTCCTTGCAAAATATGTTTTGAAACTCTTCTCTGCTCATCTAAAACTGCCCAGCAGCCCAGTGGCACCCACAGTAACTGTACAAGTGGACTAGGGACAAAAGGGAAACTAACTTGTCCGAGAACTTTTTTCTACCACGAAAACCCAAAGGTCCATTAAGAGTGGGGTTTATCTTGCTTGCATCTCATCTTGCATCTGTTTGGTGGCAGATGCCACACCTCGTCAGCTAAAGCAGACTAGGAGTGGAAGTGCCATCACAGCCTCAGCTCTTTCAAGACCTTTTCAAACTGTTCAAAGAGCCAAAGCCCTGACAACTTCCCAACACAAGCCACTAAGAACTAGATATTCAGATAATTATTTCCAGCTGCACAACAGTGCTTGCCTGCTGCAGGACAGCACACTTCAGCTCACAAAGAAAGGGAAAAGAGCGTGTACATTTAAAGCTCCTTCAAAATTATAATCCTACTACTGTATGGGTTGGATCTGTAGTCTTTATTATGGAAAGAACAGACATATTCCAGCATGGGAAAGTGTGCTTTTTCCTTTTATTGCTTTCTCTCTTTCAAATGTTCAAATACAGTATTTCACTAGGGAAGGAAACAAAAAAAAAAGCTTTAGAAAAAAATTCAATGCTGAATTTCTCTCTCCTGTAATAGGAAATTGATGGCACTTACACAGAATTTAATTGTGAAGTTAATCATATTTTGAAACTCCAGTGGTCATTGTACAAAACTCTTCTTACATATTGGATCTGATCTTGCAGGTCAGGATAATGAATTGCTCCAGAAAAGGAGAGAGGTTTCTAGGTGGAGGGGATAAAATGCTTGATTATTGAAAGCTTCTTAAATGGCCCATGCTAATAATGCAAGAATCAAAGCCTATAAACTGCTTTTAAGCCATGTGAAATGGTTATAGCTCAAAAATGTTGGGAGATTTTCTGAACTGTTTTTTGTATGTGATGACCTTACGGCTCTCTGGCATGAGGATTATAACAGCGCTTGCTACGACTAATAAGGTGATTTGCATGACAGGGTGAGGGAAACAGAAAGAAAAAAGCTGCTGTAATTGTGATTCTTCTGAAAACAATGGCTCCTATGTTTATTAGTACAATCTTGCATTCATAAGAATTTTTCTAATAAAACTGTAGCCTCCAAAAATATTTCTTGCTAAGCAGAATAACAAAATACAAGCAGTATAACAACTTTTAAAGACAGAAAAATCTATGAGCCCTTCTGACAAGAAAGAATTCTTATTAATGTAGGTTCGAGATATATTGCAGTTCCCAGAAGTGGTTTATGTTTTCATGTCAGCACAGTCTAATGCCTGCTTTGCTTTCTTTACTAAGTCAAAAATGTTTACCATTTGCTTTCTCTAATCTAAGGTTTTAAGATATATTACGACTTTAACATATGAAAAGAAAAATAAAGTATGGGTTTTTTGCATAATTGGTTCTGCCTCACTTAGCAAGTTACGATTTTTCAAAAAAAAGAAGTGAGACACCAAGAATCACTGTAAAATACTTGGTTTAAAAAGATAAAAGTGCTAAATTTCTGAAGAACATACTCCAAATGTTACTGCCTATATATCACTCTAATTTTTCTGAGATAGACTACGTTACTTTTTTCAGGTAGTGGGTTCAGAGTCAATGTATAATCTGGTTGGATTGGACACTGAAGTACTATGCAATTCATGTCCTTTTAATTTTCTTGGCAAATGCAGTAAACAGCAAATGGCACTCATGCTTTTGGCCATACACCTCAGCTTCTTAGTAGCTCCTGAGAGAAGCAGAACTCTTGACAGGACAGTGGCTTAAGAAAAAACTCTCCGTTCAAAGAAATCATTCTTTAGATTCCTCCCTTATCTTCTCTGTGATCCTCTTCTTTTCACAGGACACCAGATATGTTTGATTTTCACATACAGCACAGAGTATACAGTCATGTTTCTCTTCCTTCCTTTTTGCACACAAATGCTGAAGGTGGGATCTCAGAATCCCAGAATCATCATCATCATCATGGCTAGGCTTTGCAAACGAAGATTTGGGAAGGACTTTACCCACACTTGCTACCAGTGCGCTGGTGGCTAAAGAGGCCAATGCGAGAGAGGCACGTCCGGTTGCAAAAGGCACAGCAGAAAGACTCCTTAGGTAGTATCAACAAGACACGATTCTTTCTGCATTGTCTTTTCTCCTCAAGGGTGATCCTGCGTGTGTTCTCAAAAGCATCAGCAGCGTTATAGATAGTGTGTCTCCAGATCTCCTGATTGGAGGCCAGAGTAGACCAGTGATGACGGTCAATATGGCCAAGGCTGAGATGTTGTTTCAGGGAGTCCTTGTATCTCCTCTTCGAAGCTCCTCTCTTGCAGCAGCCAGTGACAAGTTCACCACAGAGCAAGATCTTAGGGAGGTGGTGGCCCTTCATCCTGCCCTGCCCAACACAGCTGTGTTCTCAGCAACATGGCCTCAATACTTGTGACTGCTGCCTCTTCTAGAACAGATGTATTAGTCACATAATCTGACCAGTGGATGTTTAAGATTGTACGGATGCAGAGGAATCCCAGAATCAATTGGGTTGGAAAAGACCTCTGAGATCATCGAGTCCAACCTACGACCAAACACCACCATGTCAACTAGACCATGGCACTAAGTGCCACATCCAGTCTTTCCTTAAACACCTCCAGGGACAGTGACTCCACCACCTGCCTGGGCAGTCCATTCCAATGTTTAATTACCCTTCCTGTGAAGAAATTCCTTCCAATGTCCAACCTAAACCTCCCCTGGTGCAGCTTAAGGCTATGTCCTCTCATCCTGTCACTGGCTGCCTGGGAGAAGAGACTGACCCCTACCTGGCTAGACCCTCCTTTCAGGTAGGATCATCAAGGATGGACTGCCTACCTGCTTTGCAGTGCAGCATGGCTGCTGTATCTTGGCTGATCGAGACTGACATAATAGCTCTTAGAGCTTGTCCGAGCATGAGCCAACTAACGCTGTGCTGGAGATCTGTTCTTGAAGAAATAACTACTTAAACAAGCTTTCCTACACTTGGAAAGAGAAAATCTCTGTTGGCAGAGATTTCCTCCAGAGGCATTCTTGGTCCCTCTACACCTCTACCTCCTGCCAGCAACCAGATAAAGGAAAACAGATGTGGTGAGAGACGCACCTTATGCTGAGGTGAGAGGGGTTTTTGTTCAGACCTCATCTTGATCCAACACTTTGAAACCACCTGACACTTCACCTTTTTTGAGTCACCACAGCATAGAGGGTCAGCCTAAACTCATGTATTGTTCTGCACTAAGATGTCTTCTAGCATCCCGTCCATGCCTTGGTGTATTCACTTGCTGGTTGCATTTATTTCCTATAGTAGTTAGCGGTATTGGTATGTTATCTCTTTAACGCCTTGGATTTTCACACAAGGCTGTCTGTATTATGGCTCACTTACATTCCTTAAAGCACTGTTATCTGTGTTGGCTAGGAACTAGCTTTCCTTATCCTTTTACAGATCTGGCTTAGGATACAGATAGTTGTTTTTACTGTGAATCTTGGGTCACTCCTGTTTCTGCCACGTTTTCTTGGAGAATTATTCAAAAACTACTGAGTGTACATAATACTTGTGCAAAAGGTTTCAGGATGGTCCTCGAAAAGTCTGCTTCTAAAATCACTTCTTTTTTGCTTAGTTTCATGTCTGGAAGAAACTGTTCTTATTCTCAGGACACATATCTTTTTTGTAGTTCCCTGGAAAACTGCTTATCCCTTAAAAGCTTTAAGCTTAGGAATACCGTCAATATGTCAAACAAAAAGGAACATAATAAGGATGACTAGTCTTTCCACTTGTTTGGCCAGAGAAGCAAGCTTTGGAAACTTCTTTTATTAGAACTAAATCCTTCTGAGCCCAAAATCTAACATTCCCCTATTTGCCACCTGCTTCCACAGATTATCCAGGGAAAATGAAAGAAACTCATTCTGGAGCTGGATCACCACGTACTCTCTGAATTTTCCGGAGTTTCACTTTGTTTCTAGGATTATGGAATAAAAAATAGAGATTAAGTGGGCTAGAAGAGCTCTAAAATAAAGCTTTCGAATAGAAAACTGGTTTGGCTGCTCAGCTATAGAAACAAGGCAAAGCTACACAGTGCCCTTCTAAGATGATCCCTAATTGCCTGCTTTAAACTTCTTTTTTACTGTGTGTGATGGAGGTTTGTTGGCACAATTGAGACTGCTTAATCCAAGTGGTCAGAGAGCTGTCCTCTCAGGGAGGATCCTCCTAAATTCTGTTAATGCAAGTACTCTGCACCTTCTGCTG